TGGCCAGCGCAGCATTTGCATTGCCGATGAGGCATATGGATCTCTGGGCCCAGCCTCTAATGGCTAATAAATCAAGAGGTGTCCCCTCATTTAAGGCCGCCTCGACCAGTTCAAAAATCTTTGCACTAGGGCCTAGTGTATCCAGCACCTTATCTTGACACTGGCGTAGGGAGTAATCAAGTCCCTTTTTGGCTTTCCAGCCCAATTTACCCAGGAATTGTGCTATTTCGGGATCTATGTCTGGCGTGGCGCAGGCCATATCGGGCACTGTTGGGCATGGGCACTCAGCCCGCAGTTTTTGTCTGGTGGCTTTATCCAAGGGTTTACGGATTCTGGCCACTATGTTCAGCCGACCTAGGGTTCTGTAATGTATCAGGGTCGAACAGAGGTTCGCCCTGAGGGTCCAGGATAGCGGATGTATCCGCAGTATCATACAAGGGGTTAGTCGGGTTGCGTGGTGGACTACGGTCTGGGGAGGAAACCTCCCATTCATTTGAGTCGACTTCGTCGGACTCGTTTGAAACCTCCTCAGCATCCGAACCTGAGTCAGAAGAGTCAGTTAGGTCTTTTGCCCACTTCCATGTCCGCGGCACTTTTGCCCGGCGGGTGGCTCGTTTTCGTGGGGACCCCACCACCTCAAGTGTGACAGGACATACCCTGTCCGTCATTTCATTTTTGGAGGCATGCTTTCCCATGTTGTGGGTTTTGCTCACGGCTTTACGGCCCTCTTCTGTGGCCCTGACGAGGGTTACCTTAGGGTTGGATGCCTTAATGGTGTTCGAAATGGAGTGTGATATGTTGTCAAACATAACCCCCATTGCGGTATAGATAGCTTGGGTGACTGATTTTGACATGGTGGCGTCCAGGAGCGAGTGGAACTCCTCTGAGTCCAGGTGCTCTATAGGGGTCACCACGTCCCCTTGCAGGGTGGGGGGTTTAGACATCATGTGTCTGTGATGGGCTTTGGCATCCCCCTTATCGCTGGGGCCAGGGGCAGAGTATTCAGTAGTAGTCTGCATATTGGGCCAGTTAGGTGTGTGAGGCACAGTAGTTAATACGGTAGGTATAGGCAATTTTCTGCAGGGGCAGTTTTAGGGGCTGCTAAAGCAGGAGACAAGGCAACAGAACAGCAATAAAACAGATTGCACTGTCAGCTTACCGAGTGTTCCCTCAGTAATGGCCTCTGGGGACACTGGCAGGCTGACAGGCAAGCTATCCACCCAATCAGCTCGCGCCCTCCTAATGGGCTGTGCGAGCTGAGAGGGAAAAAAGAGCGGCAAAAAACTGGTATCACCGCCCCTTTTTCTTATGGATGCAGTGTGTGCGGCCGGGACTGCGCATGCGCGTGCGGTGCTCGCTCGCACGGTGTTGTGGCGGGGGAACCCTCTGAGGAGAAACCGGGCTCTTCCCAGAGAGTTCCCCGCGCTGTGTGACCGATTGGGGAGGGTAATAAACTTCCCGGCGGTATGCACGGAGCCGGTACCCTGCCGGGGGTGGGAGGGCGGGCACCCACGGGGGAGCGGGGGAAAGGCTTCCTCACGGAGTGTTGAAACAAAACGCCCAAGGCTGAATAATGTAATATTAATGTATAATGTAATATTTAATGTGTTTATGTTCAATGTAATGTATCATGGGTTTTTTTTTTTTATAACAATAAAAGTAAAATATTAAACATGAAAAAAAAATGTGAGCAGGATATTGCTTTGCTGCAGAGGGATTTGGATAGATTTGGGGACTGGGCACTAAAATGGCAGATGAAATTTAACGTAGAGAAATGCAAAGTTATGCACTTCGGGGTTAAGAATGCACAAGCAATTTACACCCTAAATGGTAGTGAACTAGGGATAACCACACACGAGAAGGATTTGTTATAGACAACAAATTAGGCAACAATATGCAATGTCAATCTGCCGTTGCTAAGGCCAGCAAGGTTTTGTCATGTATAAATAGGGGCATAAATTCTCGAGATGAAAATATAATTTTGCCTCTTTATAAATCGCTGGTAACACCTGTTCTAAAGAAAGATATCATGGCACTAGAAAAAGAGATGAGCTACAAAATTGATAAAAGGAATGGACCATTTTAGTTATGAAGAAAGGTTAAAAAATGTAAATCTTTTTAGTTTGGAAAAACGGCGCCTGAGAGGGGATATGATAACATTATACAAATATATTCGGGGCCAGTACAAACCATTATCTGGAGATCTATTCATAAACAGGGCTATACATAGGACACGAGGTCACACATTTAGGCTGGAAGAAAGGAGATTTCATCTAAGGCAAAGAAAATGTTTTTTTTACAGTAAGAGCAATAAGGATATGGAATTCTCTGACTGAAGAGGTGGTTTTGTCAGAGTCTATACAGATGTTTAAACTGCAATTGGATAAATACTTGCAAAAACATAACATACTGGGATATAATTTCTAATTAGTGGGGTAATAGCTGCTTGATCCAAGCAGACATCTGACTTCTATTTTGGGGTCAAGAAGGAATTTTTTCCTAGTTTGTTGCAAAATTGTAAGCGCTTCAGACTGGGTTTTTTGCCTTCTTTTGGATCAACAGCAAAAACATATGTGAGGAAGGCTGAACTTGATTGACGCAAGTCTCTTTTCAGCTATATAACTATGTAACTATGTAATTATCATCTTTAGTAATGGCAACTTGTTGGGCCCTTGTAAGGCCTAGCAGCAAAAGGGTGAACAGGATATCATGGCTTAGGACAGTCCACCTCCTCCTGCAGTGGGAAGCGTGGATCCAGGTGCTCTTCCTGGCCAATTTAACAGATGTGGCTGTGACTAGGAGGGCTTGGAAGGGACCATCATATCTTGGCTCAAGAGTGTGCTTTCTCACGAATTTCTTAACCAGAACCCAATCACCAGGAAGCAATCGTGGGTGCCTGTATCAGACTCTGGATCTGGAATGGAAGAAAACACTTGCGCATGGATTTTGGTCAACGCTCGGGAAAGGGCACTTACATAGTCAACCAATATATCAGACTGGAGTTGAAGTTGCTGGGGGAAATAGCACCCAAGTCTAGGGGCTGAACCAAAACAGAATCTCATAAGGGGATAAAGCAAACTTCCCTCTTGGTGCGTACCTTACACTAAATAGAGCTATGGGGAGACTCTCTGGCCAGGGCAGGTTAGTTTCTTGGGCCATTTTCAGCATTCTGGCTTTTAAGGTGCCATTCATGCGTTCTACCTTACCACTACTCTGTGGATGATAGGGTGTGTGGAATGCAAGGGTCACCCCCAGCAATTTCAGTGCTGCCCAGATTTCTTTGGTTACTGATGCAGTGAAGGCCGGGCCTTGGTCACTTTCTATTACTTCTGGGACCCCGTATCTGCATACAACTTCGGTGAGCAGGCGCTTGGCTGTGGTCTTGGTTGTCATGTTGGTAAGTGGGTAGGCCTCTGACCATCCTGAGAACATGTCCACTATGACTAGTGCATATTCATACCGGCCACTCTTTGGCATTTGAATGTGGTCAACTTGGATTCTTTGAAAGGGGTAGTGAGGTTTGGCTAGATGCTTTGGGGGGAGCTTTTTCCATTCTGCCTGGGTTGCACTTGGCACAGATGGTGCAGGATTTGCAATAACTGTTGGTCAGAGAGGTGATTCCTGGTGCTTCATAGTATTTGCTGATCAGAGAGTTCATGAGGGTCTTGGACAGGTGTGATGCTCCATGGGCCCACTGGACCAGTGCTGAGTACATGCTCCTGGGTAAAAGAACTTGAGGTTGTTGGAGTACAGTCCATCTTTAAGGGTTTCCCCTTTCTGTTTCCAGCTCTGTCTTTCTTCAGGATCAGCTTGTTGTTCCTTCAGGAGCTTGAGGTCTGTGGGTAGAGTCTGTATGGTGAATATGGGGATCTCTTCAGCGAACACTCTTCTGTCCACTTCCCTTGGTGTATACGCAGCGTCTTTGGCGGCTTGGTCAGCTATATTAGTTGCCTCATGCTTCATCTGAGTTCAGTCTCCCGTGAGTCTTTACCTTCAGAAAATTAGTCTTCATGTATTCTTCTGCCCAATGCAGCCATTTCTGCTTGTGAGCATTGGTTAGTGGTGGCTGAATAGAAGGTTTATGCACAGTTGTAAGACTCTGGAGCACTCTACACCTTGATGTCCGTGGAACTCCAGAGGCATCAGCTGCTTCAAATATCTGTTTGCTGCTATCTAATGGTATTTTAGCAGCTGCTCTCTTGACCTTGAATGGATCTGGCAGAAATCTTCCTCAATGTGCCTTTATCTGCACGATCCTGTCTGTGCTCTGAATCAGCCACAAATCTCTTAATAGTGCGATGATCACGCTTACATTTTTGTGAAATATCTAATGTTTTCATACCTCGTCCAAGGCATTGAACTATTTCACTGTTTTCGGCAGCAGAGAGATACTTTTTCTTCCCCATATATCATGAAAATGGTGCTCTGCTTAATAATGTGGAACCCCCTCCTTTAGTAGTTTTTCCTTAAATTGGGCTCACTTGGCAATCTAAGTATCACAGGTGTCCGAGATTATTTTCAGTGATCAAAAGAGCCCAGAGACACAATGCCATCCATGAGTTAAACTGTAAAACAATATATTTAATCTTTGTGACACTTAAATAGAATTTGCATAATAATTTGGAAAAGGTTGTATAGGCAAGGTGCTAAGGCAGTCATTACCATATATATCAGAGGTGATCAATCTCCCTCCCATCACTGCAGGTCTGCCTCAGAGTCTTCTAGGACGGCTGTCTGTCAGCCAGAACCCAGAGGCCCCACGTTGGGTGCCAAATGTTTTAGATCAAACCAAGTGTTTGCTCGAATATCTGCCCCTCTCCAGATTGCTTAAAATAGAATGTGTGCACGCTGAAGTAAATCACACTGACAGTTCAGATAAATAAAAAACTTCGGAATGTTTAATCAGGGGGGCGGCAGGCCCCTTATAAAGCAGAAAATACATCATAAGCAAAATGCAAGATAACAGAGAGAATACATCTTTAATTGGTCAAGTGTTAAGTGTCTTATCTAATGCACGTCCTCCAAAGTGTGATGTCACCATCATCTCGGGATTTTACTCCGGATGGAGACGCCATCTTGTGACACAAGGTGTTCAGTCGATGGGAGAGGGTGCTCTAGCAGCCATTTTGAGTAAATACTTAATACAGGCATACAAAGTAAATAGACATTTTACCTATATTAATTTCTATCCATAACACATAATGCTGCAAGTCCTGGTGGTCCAGTGGTGGCATGTTCACTTTAGCCAGCAGCTCCTCCAGCTGCAGGCTGACTCTCCTGTCCTCCTGCGAGCACAGCACTGTATCGGAGCATTGCCATGATAATGCACGGCAACACTCCAACCAGCATGCTCGCGAGAGGAATACAGAGCCTCCCAGGCCCTTCCCTCCCTCTGCTGGAACTAAGTGCCAGCAGGCTGGTGAGGGAGATCTTTGATCTCCTTACCAGCGCGAGAGGGCTTACAACAAGGCTGGCTCTGCATGGACCAGCAGGGGAGATGAAAGGATGTCCACTGCCGGCCTTGGTCCACAGCCATCAAGGCCCACTTGGCGTTTTCTGCAGAACCCACCATCGCCCACCTGAAATCCTAAACCGCCCACTAATGGGCTTTAGGGACCAGGTTGACTACCCCTGGTATAGTGTAAAGGGTGCTAGTATAGGAATGAGGAATCACTGTAGGAATTGTTTTGTGTATTAAAGGTAGAGATAAAAAAACAGGTTGCACCAAATGGTGTAGAGATGTTAAACAGCACTAATAATAAAAGGCAGTAAAATAGAATTTACAGAATAGTCCCAAATTTGATTGATAGCAGAATTCTTGATAGGAGAGGTGAAGTACAGCAGGTGTGGTGTTGTGTTCAGAAGTTTATGCGGATTCCGTGATATGAAATGACAAGGCTGGCAAAATAGTGTAATATTGTATACGACTGAGGTGAGAAATAAAGTAATAGAAAATGCAATATGAAGACAGCTTACGCCAGTGATGGCGAACCTTTTTGAGCCCAAGTGCCAAAACCGCAATAAATGCCAACTTTTTTTCCTCAAAGTGCCAACACGGCAAGTAAACCTGAATACTGAGATTTAAGTTTAGAAAAAACAACTTGTACAGTTGTCCGAACTAATTAACATCTTTTGTTTTAAAAGAAGAACACAACAGAGAGTTCAATAATATAAATATTCAATAATAATGATATAAATAGATAAAATTAAGCTTATATTTATTAGTATCTCCAACAAATGCAACACATAGACTGCTAAATACATACACACAGTCCGCTAAATACACCCACAAACAAACATAAACCCAGTCCACTGAATACACACACACAGTCCGCTGAATACACACACTGCTAAATACATACACTGCTGAATACACACACAGACAGACTGCTGAGTACACACACAGACTGCTGAGTACACACAGACTGCTGAATACACACACACTGCTGAATACACACACACGTGCATACTGCATTGAGGGGTGCAGTGTATGTGTTTGTGTGTATGGGTGTGGAGTGTGTGTGGAGCGCTGTGTGTGTGAGGGGTGCTGTGTGTGTATGTGTGAGGGGTGCTGTGTGTGTGTGGAGGGGTAGGGGTGCTGTGTGTGTGGGGGGGAAGATACATAAAATAAAAGTATATTCAATCTGTATCCCTCGGACCACCAGGGATGGCTGTGTCTCCCCCACCCCCCTTCACCAAAGGTAAGAAGAAGGCAAGGGGGACACAGCCATCCCTGGTGGTCCGGTGATGGTAAGTATGTGACAGGGAAGCAGCTCTCCTGTCCTCTCGCGCGATGCTGTGTGGAACGTTGCCATGGTAACACGCAACACCGCTCCACACAGATTGCTTGTGGGAGGACAGCAGAACTGCTTCCTAGATCCCTCCCCCCGCTTCCGGTCCTCCTGACAAGAAAGCAGAGTAGGCACCTGCTGTTTTGGGCAGGCAGGTGCCTACTCTGCATTGATGCAGACAGACAGCAGCCCACTCCCCTCACCTATGGCCGCGTGCCCACAAAGAGGGCCCGGTGTGCCACCCGTGGCACGCGTGCCATAGGTTCACAATCACTGGCTTACGCCATTATTTTGGAATCCAGCTAGTGAACCAGGACAAGCACTGGGCACTTCATTTTTGCATTAATACCTGTTTTGGGAATCTGTCTGGGTGGTTATATAATAAAGGACCATTCAATGCTATTTGCTATCCAATGATAATGTATTATTAGCAGTTAACATTATTACTGTAATGTCAGCTATTCAGACAAAGAAGCCTCTCTTTTTTTTTTTATATTCTTTAATTTTATTCTTTAATTTTGTAGCACATTGGTATACATTCAAAGCTTGCATAGACATTTCTGCAGAAGCATGTACAATAGTAGTGGATATAGATTTGGTAGAAAATGTCAAAGAAAAATATTGCACTTTTTCTAATAATAAGCAAGATAAAACATGAGTTGATACTATGGGCTAACTAATAATTAAAACATGTTGAACGATCATAGTAAACAATTTAGTTGTAATGCCACTGGGTACTGGTCTGAATTGAAAAAGATAAGGGGGAGAACAGGAATCCCTGCACTAACCACAGGATGATAACAGTAGATGAGCAGTATCTACGCTGTCAAGACTGCGTGTTTTTTTGTTTTTTCCCAAGAGCACATGCACAGTTTTGTAATATAACATGAGTAGGCAGGATATGTCAGCAATAAACATAGAGAAATACCGTGTGGTGCTAACTGACTATATGAGTAGACTAAAATATATAGTTGAGATATCATGTTTGTTCTAAGTGACAAGCTAGGCAGACCTGTCTAATTTTTAGGGATAAGCTAAGAGCTAAACATCTAAATACCAAGCGGACATGTCTAACGTGAAAATAAGTAAAGCTGCTATACAGATAAAACAAAACATCTGCCCACTGAAAGATATATGATAACAGTGAGATGCAAAGGTTCAAGATAGGGCATGCTAGAGGTTTAGTGCAGTTGTTCAGCCTATGCCCCTGAGAGGAGGGCCAGCAATCTGGAGACTCAGAAGTTCCTTTAAACTTGAGGGGTTACTCCTCCAGCTCCATGCGGTGGTGCTCTCCTCATTCGTGTCTCCGGAGGGTCTGCTGCATCCATCCGTAGGGTATATCTCCAGGCTCTTCTCGTTGCCGGCCTCTGACCTTGCTGAGCGGGGCCCCTCTGGCTGTGCTTGCAATCATGGCCTTCCTGAAATACTGAGCTGGAGCTTGGTATCGGGGCTGCTGCACAGGTTGTTTGCGGGATGGTAGATGTCGTGGCCTCCGCCTCCGGTTCTTCACCCTGCCCGGGCAGCGAGGTATTTGCGCCTTCCCGGAGTTGGGTTGGTGAACCCCCGATGGGTGAGATATACGAGGTGTGTCTGTAATATAGGTGTCCCCAGAACGCCTGGCAGATTTGATCGAAGCGTGCCTCGAAGCGCTTCTTCCAGCACAGGAGCTCCAACCCCTCTGATTATTATTTGCCGCTTGGAGGGGACCCTGTGGTGGGAGATCGTCCGCTTCCTCCAGCCTCCAAGTCACCTACCATGCTAGGCCTCATGAGTGGACCGTGGGTTAGCATAGATAAGTCGTTTAAATCATGGATCCACAGATTCCCACTAGGTCCATCTGCAATGCTCAGTTGACTTCGAGTATCACGATTTTGAGCCGTTTTAGCCCAAATTAAGCTCAGCAGTGCTGGAGCTCTCCAAAGATGCGTCTGGCCATCTTAGCAATCAGGCCCCGCCCCTCACAAGCCTCTCTGTAAATTCCCATTTCTGTTTGTCATATAGTCCATATAAAGCAATAGGGGCAACCAGTGACATACTAAGGGGTGGGAGGGGGAAGGGGGCGGTCTGCTCCGGGTGCCACCAGGTATGGGGGTGCCGCCACGGCTGGTCAGGCTTAGGGTTGTGTGAGCTGTGTGGTTGCACAGGACACCATGGCAGCAGGGGCAGCCAGCACAGTTCACACACACAGGGGCCGGGAATACAGCAGGAGAACTTCACTGCAAGTTGGGGGCAGAGTCAGATCGGCCATGGGGCAGAACCAAATCAGATGCGGGGCAGAGCTAATGACGGCCTCTTACTGCTGCCCATTGAGGGGAAGCAGGAAGGAGTCCCTGCTTCCTCAACTACTACACACCAGGGATTGCAGTGTCTCCACTCCTCTACAGCCCATACTGTCAGTTAGTGCGAGAGAGTGTGTGCTGTGTAACTGTGATTGTATGTGACTGCCTGTGTGTGACTGTCTACCTGGGATTGTGTGTGACTGTCTGCCTGTGATTGCGTCTGTGACTGTTTGTGACGGTCTGCCTGTGTCTGTGAATCTCTGACTGTGTGTGACTGTCTTCCTTTGACTTTGTGTGACTGTCTGCCTGTAACTGTGTATGTGACATTTGCATGTCACATAGTGTGTGTGAATGTCTGCCTATGACTGTGTGATACTGCCCGAAACTGTGTTACAGTCTGCCTGTAATTGTGCGTGTGACTGTGTGTGTGTGTGTGTGTGACTTCCTGCAACTGTTTGTGTGTGACTGTTTGCCTGTAACTGTGTGTTTGACTGTGTGCATGTAGCTGTATTTGACAGTATATGTGTATAAATGCGCATCTGACTGTGTCTGACTGTCTTCGCCCTGCAGTGAGCCGGCACAGCAATCCCAGCAGCAACCACTGACCACCAAGTGCTGAGGATCCACTCTAGCCCTACCAGAGCAAGGTAGGGAGGCTGGGTGGACCTCTTAATTATTAAATGTGTGTGTGTATGTATGTGATGTTTGTGTGTGCATATCTAATTATGTGTGTCTGTGAATGTATGTGTGTGGATCTGTGATAGTGTATGTCTGTGATTATGTGTGTGATTGTGTGTATCTCTGTGGTTAATTGTGTGTGTTGTGATTGTGTGTGTTTATGTATGTGATTGTGTGTGTAGGCCTGTGATTGCATGTGTGTGTCTGACTATGTGTATCTATATCTATACACGCACACACACACACACTCACAACTACAGATATACACGCACAGACATACACTTATTGTGTATGTGTTTGGCAGATAGCTCCCTTATTTGGTGTCCTTAAATATTGCAATCCCACATAAGGATAACAAATAAGGGAGTTATCTACTAAACAACTGAAAGATTCAAATTAATAAAAGGGCTTTTTAAATTTTGATCTTTTAGCTGCTTAGTAGATAATTCACTAAATTGGTGCCCTTATGTGAGATTTTCATATTTAAAGATACTAAATTAGGGTTCTGTTTAGCAGATATCTCCTTTATTTGGTGTCCTTAAATATGGCAAGCCCACATAAGGAAAGGAAATAAGGGAGTTATCTGATAAACAAAGATCAGAGTTAAGAGGTGTCAGCCAGCCCACAAGAAGAAATCTGGGTGGCTAATGTGAATTATCAGACAGCCAATGGCAGCACATCCCCTAGTGAAACATTTTAGTACCCCCCAGATTTGACTGTGGTATCTTATGTGTCCCCCCCATATATTGTTCTTAGAGTCACGACTGTGTCTGCATATGTGTCAGTGTATCTGTGTGTGAGTATGTGTCTATGTATCTGCATGTATGTCAGTGTGTATGTACATGTGCAAACATCTCAGAATCTCGCCAACACTACACACAAATACACCCATTCAACATCAACACAGCCAAGGTCATCAGTCACAACCAAGGTATTTGTTAGTTATAAAAAATTTAGTGACACCAGTAAAGACTCCTATTTTGTAATAAGGTTGGGATGCATCCTTCAAGTGTTCTGCCATGACCGCTTTAAGAGTCCGGCCATAAGAGTACGAGAGCCCACACTCGGGCAGTGTAATGTTGCCGGAAATCTCATATCTGGCATCGTTTCTGTTAGAGGTCATGGGGCAAGTCCTGTCACTACAGTCTCCGTGCTAGGGTAAGTCCTGGGTGCTAGGGCATGTTCTGTGAGTGCCATCTCAGTGCTGGGGTAAGTCTTGGGTGCTAGGACAAGTCCTGTGAGTGCAATCACCATGCTGGAGTAAGTCCTGGGTGTTGGGGCAAGTCTGTGAGTGCAATCTTTGTGCGGGGTAAGTCAATATATGCCCCCAGTGTCAACACAAGGTGATGTCTCACACACTGCCCTGATATACAGTGCTTTGAAAAAGTATTCACCCCCCTTGACGTTTTACCTATTTTACGGCCTTAAGTTCAATGCTTTATTAATCTGAATTGTATGTGATGAGCTGGTATAATGACACAATGCTATTGGTCTGTTATACAATTCTTTTCAGAGCTGGTTTTTATCTCCATTCTGTCACTGATATGGTATGATGTCCCTGTGTTAGGCTTGTAAAAAGGTGTGAAGCCCCCACTTGCACACATGCTGCTGACTGATTACTAGACATGCCCCTACTCGCAGTATAGCGAGTAGGGACAGAATTTACTAATACTAAGTAATCTTTACTTAGTATTAGTAAATTTGTCTGAAAGACCAATTTAGGTCTTTCAGCCTTTTGGTAGATAGCTCCCTAATACCGTGGGAATTAGGGAGTTATCTACTTATTCATTCCCATTCATTGACTGGCTAAGTAACTTACATTTTATATGAATGTGTTACTTGATTGTTGTAAGTGTTGCAAATGCTTACAGCTGAATCCTGGCTATGTTTGTATACTTTTTATTTAAACTGCTATACAGTGTAACATTATTTATTCTTCCACTGGGTATATTAGTACTTCGGCAATTCTGTGCTTTGGAACTTCGACTATTCGTCCAAATTGCACCTGTCTAATGTTTAGCCTAAATCTCATTTGGATACTATACTCAAATACAAAGATCACTATAGAAAAGCAGACAATAAAAATGATGGAAAATTATCTAAAAAAACTAAACAAAAACCATGAAATGTTTACTTTTTTATGGGGGTAGGGTGTTGGCGATACAGTTTCTCGCCAAGGGCGCTAGAGACCCTAGTTATGCCATTGTAAACACACACAAACACTCTGCATCCACTATACACACACACTGCAACCACTACACACACACTATAACATAGCATGGGTGTGGATTTGTTGGGGGCAGCATTTAATCATTGGGCCTGCTCTGGTCATTGAACAAGGAGTGTAAAATGAAAATGGATCCTATCAAAGCTTTGTTGCAGAGGGATTTAGATTTGGTGACTGGGCACTCAAATCGCAGATGAAATCTCATGTACAAAAATACAAAGTTATGCACAGAGTAAAGAACGCACAAGCAATTTACACCCTTAATGGTAGTGAATAAGGGATAACAATGCACAAGGATTGGGAATTATTATGGACGACAAGCTAGGCAACAATGTGCAATGCCAATCAGCAGTTCCTAAAACTAATAAGGTGTCATGTATTAAGAGGGGCATTAATCCTAAGGATGAAAATATTATTTTGTGTTTTTATAACTCACTGGTACGAGGTGGTTTTATCAGAAGTTATACTTGCAAAAACACAATATGCAGAGATATAATTTTTAATTAGTGGAATAATAGTTTCTTAATCCAAAGAGATATCTGACTGCCATTCTGGGGTCAGGAAGGAGTTTTTTCCCTAATTTGTTGCAAAATTGAAAGTGTTTTTTTTGTCTTCTTTTGGACCAACAGCAAAAACAGATGTGAGAAAGGCAGCACTTGATGGACAAATTTCTCTTTTAAGCTATGCGGCTATTAAACAAATCATAGGAAAAAGGCGACTAAGTACATGTTAATTTGGGATATGGTATCATGCATCTGGAAATGGAAAATAAAATCAATTTTGGATTTATGAAGGATGTACCATTAAACAAGAAGATTCAAGTTATGCATCAACTGAGCCACAGATTTATGTCAATGGAGTGAGTTGCTTGGGGGTGAGATATGTCAATCTGAGCACTTATTATTGTTATGGTCACTCCCAACAATCAAGTAGCCAATCTAAAATTGTGCAAGAAAAATTAAAGTGTAAAATGAAACAAGTTACTAGCTTAAAGGCATATACACTAACAATACCATACACTTTATCATTAATCACTACATCCTCACGGTCAACAAAGTTTCCCTTGTTCATTTACAAGATTTGGAATCGTAATTGAGCACTAAACAAGTCTGAATTATTGGTGCTGAAAAAAGATGTTGATAATTTTCTTGCCTAATGAATCTCTTGGAGAAACGTGACTTTTCTTGCACTTGATTAAATTTGCTCATTTAACATTCTAAAATAATCAGATTAAGTGGTTAGAATTCTAAACCAAATACCTAAAGGAGAGGTACAGTTAGCCACTTCCCTTCTGGATAATGATGGTAAAGCAAGATAGGTATATTGTGAGGGCTTCAACTCATTCCAGGACATATTTGAAAACTAGAGAAATCTCAAAGTATCCATCCTGGTAAAATGTTTTATAAATAAAGAAACAAATCCCACCTTTGTGATCACCTAAAATGAAGGACAGCGTGACACTTAAACACTTTAGTACCAGTGACCCAGAGGTAATAACAATGAACAAAATTGTCTGACTTATGATGGCCATTCATGCAGACTTTCTTCCTGTATTTCCCCCCCCTCCCCCCCCCTATTATGACTAAGCTACTCGTTTGTTCCTACCACAGGGATTTATTTCCCAAAATTCAACTTGTAAATCCAAAAGGGGCTTCAGGAACTTGCTGGGCTTGATATGAAGCAGATTTATTGGAGCATCATCTGTACAGCAACGTTTCAACCTACACAGCTTGACAAAGACCTCTATGTAGGCCTAAATTGCTGTACACATGATGCTCCAATAAATCTGCTTCACGTCGAGCACAGTGAGAGTCTAAAGCTTCTTTTTTGATGTATTAGGTGTAAGGGCTGTGCTGGGATGGCTCAGTTATGCACCCTGTGGTTCCTCTGGATTCGTGTTGTGGTGGAATCTCGGTAAAAATAAATTTAGTAGGCCGAGATTACCACATGGCATGTGTACGTGCATATGCTGACGTATCGATCAGTTGGTTGCACGAGGCAAGATACGATCAGTAGTGTACGGAGCATGTGCAAGAATACAGGATGTAGTATTCCCCTCCTCCATTGTGCTGGACAAGCCATGTGGTCAAGCAGGAAGTTAATTCTTATTTGTAATGATTGGTCAAGAGAATGTGCGGGTGGAGCTTAATATGGGAGGAGTTATGTGCCTATATAGGAAGCCTGCACTATTGTTCAGGGCTCAGAACTTGCTGTATTTTTGGTGACATTAGTCCCTCTGAGTCCCGATCGGTGATCCAATAAAGAATCTCTTCCTTCCTGAAGAAACCTGTGTCCATCCCTCTGTGCTTTGCTTCCGTCAGTTTCTCCGGTATCATTTGGTGCATTGGCCGGGAAACTCATCGTTCAACGGTAGCTGAGAGGCAGAGGCGTGAGACGGTCTATCTTTGCCCACGTTCTCTACGGCTGCACCCCTGAACTTCTGCGTGGACCTCCCTTCGTCTCGGCGCCACTGGTCTGTTGTCCAGGAGATCATCGGCCTCTACGTAAGAAGTGCTGGGGTGTCCCCGTCGATGAGTGTGAACTCAGGTTCAGGAACGAGGAGGTAAGACAACTGCTGTTTTAGACGGCAGACCCACTAGGGGTATACCGATTGTGCGGTAGGCCCAAAAGGGGTTTAAATCTGTGTATGGAATCTGCCCCCTCTGTCGGAGGGAAGGAGCGAAGGCGCACCGCTCGATCGAACGCTCTTTAGTAAGACCGTTTGATCTGGTTAGTCAGGCGGGGTCCTGTGTAAATAGCCCTAGCCGGACACCGGTGTCTTGTCTAGACTAGCGTTCTAGGGTGTATATTACGTTCGCTAGGTCGGAGGGACCGGGAGACTAAGCGGCGCCTGTGTAAATTCGGTTCGCTAGCTCTCAACCTATCTTGGCTAAGTGGGAAGGCGTGTAAATTTGGAACCCACTAGACTTTTGATAGAGTAAATAGACTAGAAGGGCAATTTTGTAAATTCGCCCTCTAGTTCGCTATATGTGGTGCTTGGGCAGTGTGGCTAACCAAAACGGGTGTATATAGTTTTAGGTAGTCCATTCAAGGTACTGGCCAATAGTTTAGTTGGGATTGTAAATGTGTTAAAGATTGTTAGTAAAGTGTATATCTTGTTAGATAGCGCGAGCTCAGCCGTCTAGCGAGAGTGTTAATAGTGTGTTGCTGTATCATAGTGCACGGTACCATAACCCTGTATATTTACTGACACTGTATATAAGTACTAATCATTGTCGTCTATTGCATGTTTAACACCGTAACCACTAATAATTGTATTGTGACCTTAAATTGTGCTTTGACCTATGCTAACCGTACTGTAACCGATACTAGTAAAAGACGATGTTACTGGGGTGTGTTATAGACGGGTAATTCATATATAGAGAATTATAGCGTGGGTGACTGTATAGTTTCGCCAAAGGGCATAATATTGATTATTTAGTGACTGGTGTAACAGCTGTGTGTGTACGGGAATTCCCTGAGTGATTATTGTGTTATTGTGTACGTTTCACTTGGTAACTGTACCACGTGGTGCTGTTGCCAGAGGAAACGGGTGTGACTGTTGAATAAGAACGCGTGCATAGTATTCGTTGTCAACGACGTTCCATTGATAAGTATGGGCGCGTCAGAGTCAACGATTTCGGATCCCTTAGGTTGTATGGTAAAGAATTTTAAAAAGGGATTCAAAACATGTGATTTTGGGGTTAAAATGTCTCCTGTACGTTTGGTCACTTTGTGCACTAGGGAGTGGCCTACTTTGGTTGCGGCATGGCCGCCGCGTGGCAGTTTGGATCCAACCCTGGTACAGCGTGTACACGTGGCTGTGTCAGGTAGGCCTGAACTTTACGGACAGTTTCCATACATTGATTGTTGGGGGCAGGCCGTAAACGACTCGCCAAAATGGATCCGGATATGCCACGAGGAGCAATGTCGCCTCATGGTGGCCAGGACTTATTTGTCCACTAGGACCGGTGTTAGGCCCATTTTGGACACGCCCCCTGAGTCCGAGATCCCTTTGCCGCCCCCTTACTTCCCTTTAAGAGGAAGTGACGCGAATGCAGGAAGTTCTGCACCCCTTCCCCTATTGCCCCCATCCACTTCCGCTTCCTCCTCCAGTACAGAATCCACCCCCCCTCGTATTAAAACTCCCCTTCCTGAACCAGGACCAACCCCCATTAGATCTGAATATCCTGATTTGGCGCCACTTCAAACTTCCGGTCAAGCTTCTTCTAGCTCGGCTCGGAGTATACTATTCACTAATTTTTCACAAAATCAAGTTCCCACATCCTCATGCCCTATTACCTCTCGACCGGAACCTTTAACTGACGCCCCTCCACGTAGCCCCATACTAACCCGACAACTGACCGGTACCCAACAATTAAAACATTATCAGATGCCTCTTCGTCTGAATCCTGGGTCAGCCTATATCGATGCCGCAGGTCAAATGGCACATGCTGACCCAGTCTTCGTATATGTCCCGTTCACGACTACCGATCTCTTAAATTGGAAGACCCACAATTCCTCGTACACTGAGAAACCACAAGCTATGACCGATCTGTTCACCTCGATAGTTCAGACACATAACCCGACATGGGCTGATTGCCAGCAGTTATTAATGACATTGTTCAATAATGAGGAAAGGACAAGGATTAACCAAGCGGCCATTAAGGCGCTAGAGGAGAGAGCCCGTGCTTTAAATCAAGCCAATCCGGCAGCATGGGCCGCAACACATTACCCTAACACCGATCCTGACTGGAATGTAAATGGCGCAGATATGGCTCAACTTAAAGCCTATAGAGATGCTATAATTGCTGGCATGAAAGCCGGAGGGAAGAAAGCTATTAACATGTCAAAGACAGTTGAGGTGATTCAGAAAAGTGATGAAGCGCCCAGTGTCTTTTATGACCGATTACTGGAGGCATACCGCTTGTATACCCCCTTTAATCCGGAAGACGCTGATAATTTCCGAATGGTAAACTCCGCCTTTGTCAGCCAAGCTTACGGAGATATTAAGCGCAAGCTACAGAAATTAGAAGGGTTTGCAGGTATGTCTATCACCCAACTAATGGAGGTAGCGAACAAAGTATATATGAATAGGGAAACAGAAAGTAAGAAAGAGGAAGAGCGCAAGATGCGTAGAAAGGCAGATATGTTAGCGGTAGCGATCGCAGGCGTAGATAGACGGGGCCCAGATAGAGGCGATGGTAGATGGAATAGGGAGCCTTTGAGTAGGAATCAGTGCGCGTACTGCAAGGAAGAAGGGCATTGGAGGAATGAGTGTCCGCAAAGAGAGCAGTATGAGAGAGACTTACCCAGGGCAGGTTATGGAAACTTTAGAGGCAGAGCGAGAGGTAGAGGAGGCCCCGGAGGGAGTAATGGTAATAGAGGGAGTAATGGGAACAGAGGAAGTGTAAGGGAAGATAGGTACTATCCAGCAGCGCAAAGGTCCCGCGATAGAGAAGGTAGGGACTTTGTGGGATTGGCTGACACGGTCATGGAGGACTATTGATACCGACCGGGCTCCATCCCCCTTGGTCGAGCGGAGCCTATGGTCGATGTATCAATAGGGGGAAAAAGGAGTGCGTTCATGATCGACACTGGTGCTGAACATTCGGTGGTGACTAATCTAGTTGCTCCTCCATCTGGAAGAACTATTACTGTAATAGGAGCAACTGGAAGAAGTGCTGAAAAACCGGTTCTTAAAAGTCGACTCTGTACATTGGGAGGCCACGTAGTAAAACATCAATTCCTTTATATGCCTGAGTGTCCAGTCCAATTGCTGGGACGTGATATGCTATCCAAATTACAAGCGCAGATTACGTTCCTACCAAATGGAACAACATCCTTAAAGTTTAATGGACCCTCAGGTATTATGACATTGTCCGTACCAAAGGAAGAAGAGTGGCGACTTTATACAGTGTTGACTAGCCAAAACCCGAGGAGTGATGAATCCTTATTTAACATACCAGGAGTTTGGGCAGAGAACAACCCACCAGGACTGGCCCGCAATATTCCACCTATTAAAATCGAACTAAAACTTGGGGTTTATCCAGTAAGCCTGAGACAATATCATATTCCGCAGAAGGCTAAGAAGAACATCCAATCTTATCTGGATAAGTTCATACGGTATGGTATCCTAAAATTCTGTACTTCCCCTGGAACACCCCATTGCTGCCTGTTCAAAAGCCCGGTACAGATGAGTATCGACCTGTGCAGGACTTGAGAGCAGTCAATGATGCGGTTGTTAGTATACATCCAGTCGTGCCCAATCCATATAACCTGCTTGCTTTAATTCCGGGCGGGGCTACTTACTTTACAGTCTTAGATCTCAAAGATGCCTTCTTTTGCCTCCGAATTGCCGCAGAAAGCCAATGTATCTTCGCTTTCCAATGGGAAAATGCTGTAACGGGCTCGAAACGCCAAATGACCTGGACAAGATTGCCCCAGGGGTTTAAAAATTCACCTACCCTATTTGGTTCAGCTCTAAGCCAAGATCTACTAGATTTTGAGTCTATCCCAGGAGAGTGTGTATTATTACAATATGTAGATGACTTGTTGATAGCAGCAGTTACAAAGGAAGTATGTCAGCAAGCAACGCATGATCTACTACACATCCTCTGGAAGGCAGGATACAAGGTGTCAAGAAGGAAGGCTCAGTTGTGTTTGCCAACTGTCAAATATCTGGGATTCCATATCTCTGAAGGTCAAAGAATTATGGGGCCAGAGAGAAAAGAAGCTGTGTGCCAAATACCGATACCCAGGAATAGAAGACAAGTGCGAGAATTCTTGGGGGCAGCAGGCTTCTGTAGGATATGGATTCCCAGCTACGCGATACTGGCAAAACCTCTGTATGCAGCTATCAAAGGTACAGAGCACGACCCCTTCTTATGGACTCAAGAACA